AATTACATTTGGGGCTTCTTTTCGAGGTTTTATGAAGTTCTGACTAAAATACTCGTAAAATAGCCTCTTGATAGCCTGTGACCAGTTTTTGTGTATCAATTAAATTCTTGAAGATTTTCCCAAGAAAAGAGGGCAGAATTATTTGAGAACATTGCCACGAGGTGGTGATACAGATTATAAACAGGTGGTAATATTTAATTTCTCTCAAATTACTTCTTCAGAGTAGCACTAGGGGACACTCTTTTACAATATTTTATATATAAGACTGAAAATCATCAAATAGTCCTTTAATCCTTAAAGATTCCGAGGTATCTTTTCTTGACTTCAGAGTACAACCTTCATATCTGACTCAACACATCAGTTGTCCCCCTTATATTTCAAAAAAATAAAATGGGAAGCAAGGCAGCTATAAGAGTTTAAGATCTAGTTCCAACCCATTAAACCATGATTACCTACTACTGGGGTAGTTATTCGTCTTAGAGACAATAAATAAGAGAAATCATGATTTTTAAATAGTTTTCTAAATTAGTGGGGTTTTAAACATTTCTGTATGCGCATAAGACATTCTGATGGCATTTCTAGAGAATCAAGCTCTGAAAATAGCATCAGCCAATTAGAACATAATGCATTACTACATCCAAATTTTTGCAATGTATGGATGGCCTAAATTAAATTTATATTACCATTGAAAACTCTGAGGCATTCAGGCCATTTGCTTTTGAAAAAGGATTCAAGCTAGTTAATATTAGCATTTGATAAATTCCTTAGGAATTAACATTTATAAAAGTAAAATTAAATTTTATACACACACACACACACACACACACACACACACACAGAGAGAGAGAGAGAGAGAGAAAAAAAAAAATAACCAGCAGTAAAATCTGGAAGAAAAAGGCTTTAGAGTTAAGAAACCTAAGTTCAAACTCTGACTCAGCTACCTAGCAGCTGGCATGGCCAGGCACAGTGGGTGATGACTGGATCATGCAGGCAGTTTCTCATGAATGGTTTAGCACTATAGCCTCAGTGCAGTTCTTGTGATAGTGGTGATGAGTTATTGCAAGATCTGGTTGTTTAAAGGTGTGTAGAATCTTTTTTTCCCCCACTTCTCTCTCTCTCTCTCTCTCTCTCTCTCTCTCCCTCCCTCCCTCCGTCCCTCCCTCCCTCCCTCCCTCCGTCTCTCTCTTTCTCTCTCTCTCTCCTCTCTCACAACTGCTCTGGCCATGTAAGATGTGCCTGCTTCTCCTTTGTCTTCTGCCATAATTGTAAGTTTCCTGAGGCCACCCCAGAAGTCAAGCAGATGCTGCCATGCTTTCTGTACAGCCTGTCTGAATTGTGAACCAATTAAACCTCTTTTCTTTTCCTTTTTTTTTTTTTTTTTTTTTGAGACGGAGTTTCACTCTTGTTACCCAGGCTGGAGTGCAATGGCGCGATCTCGGCTCACCGCAGCCTCCGCCTCCTGGGCTCAGGCAATTCTCCTGCCTCAGCCTCCTGAGTAGCTGGGATTACAGGCACACGCCACCATGCCCAGCTAATTTTTTTTGTATTTTTAGTAGAGACAGGGTTTCACCATGTTGACCAGGATGGTCTCGATCTCTTGACCTTGTGATCCACCCGCCTAGGCCTCCCAAAGTGCTGGGATTACAGGCTTGAGCCACCGTGTCCGGCCTAAACCTCTTTTCTTTATAAATTACCCAGTCTCAGGAATTTCTTTATAGCAATGCAAGAATGGACTAAAACAGAGCCCTTCCTTTTAACTTCTACCACATACTCCTTGGATGAACAAATATACTCCCATTGTTTCAATTATAATTTATATCCTATTGATTCTTACATGTGTATCCCCAGCCCAGGTCTTTCTCAGAAGTTGCTGACTTGTTCCTCTTAACTGATCATAAGATTATTCCACTTTGATGTTCTCAACACAGCCAAATGCGAACTATTTTCCCCAAAAACTTACTTCTGTTCCCCTGCTCAATGAATGACATCATCACATACCTAGTTGCACAAGCACAAAATCTGTGACTCAATCTTAATTCCTTCCTCATTCCCATGTTCAATCATCTTAATGTTTCTCAAATGTATCCTCACTTTAGCCATGTTGTTGTCATCTCTACTTTAGATCAATCAGTCTCATCTCTTGCCTGGACTGCTGCAACCATCAATCTTCCTGTCTCTGGTATTCTTCTTCTCCAGTCTGTTCTGTATATTGCAGCCAGAGTTTTCTTTTAAAATTACAAACTCGACTATGCATTTTCCCAGACTGAAATACTTCAGTGGCTCCCCACTATTCTCAGGATAAAATCTAAAACTCTTACCATGGCTTCAAGATTTGACTCATGCCTCCCTAGCCTCAGCTCTAACTATTTTCCCTTATACCTTTATACACCAGCCATTCTTACCTTCCTTAATTACCCCAAAGGACTATATTCCTTCTAGCTCTCAGGATTTTGCAATATTCTCTCTGCCTAAAACATTCTTTTCCATTCCCAATTCCTTCTCATCTCTTAGATATGGTGTAGATATGTCCATTCTCACATTGCTACAAAGAACTACCTAAGACTGGGTAATTTATAAAGAAAAGAGATTTAATTGACTTACAGTGCTGCAGGCTATACAGGAGGCATGGCTAGTGAGGCCTCAGGAAACTTACAATCATGGCGGAAGGGGAAGGGGAAGGTGGCATGTCTTACATGGCCAGAGAAGGAGAAGAGAGAGAAAGGGGAGGTGCTACACACTTTTAAACAACCAGATCTCATGAGCACTCACAATTACAAGAACAGCAAGTGGGAAATCTGCCCCCATGATCCAGTGAACTCCCACCAGGGTCTTCTGCCAACACTGGGGATTACAATTTGACATAAGATTTGGGTGAAGACACAAATCCAAACCATATCATATGGCTTAGGAAAATTTCCTTAAGGAATGATTTCCTAATTCCCACTACCACTACTATGAAGTCTGGGTAGTGTGTCCTTTGCAATACATACTGTACCATAGTTGTCTTTAAGTATCCCCTGGCTTACTGTGAGCTAACATGAGAGCAAAATTGTATCTAGTTATTGTGTCTGTCTAGCTCATTCTTTATATTTTAAAGTTTTATTATTTATTTCTTGAAAAGGACTCTCACTGTTTCACCCAGGCTGAAGTGGAGTCATATGATTTCAGCTCACTGCAACCTCTGCCTCCTGGATTCAAGCAATTCTCCTGCCTCAGCCTCCTGAGTAGCTGGGATTACAGGTGTGCACCACCACATCCAGCTAATTTTTGCATTTTTAGTAGAGATGGGTTTTGCCATGTTGGCCAGGATGGTCTGGAACTCCTTACCTCAAGTGATTCACCCACCTTGGCCTCCCAAAGTGCTGGGATTACAGGTGTGAGCCACCACGCCCAGCTTTTAAAGTTTTTTTAATAGGTACAATTCAGTGGGTTTTAGTATATTCACAAAATTGTGTAACCATCTGTTTAGTATAGCATAAACCATCTATTTAGTATATTCACAAAATGGTGCAAACAATATCTAATTCCAGAACATTTTCATTACCCCTAAAAGAAATCCCATGTCCATTAGCAGTCATTCCTATTCTCTCCTTTCCCCAGCAGCTGGAAACCACTAACTTACCTTTCGTCTTTATGAAATTGCCTATTCTGAATATTTCATATAAATGAAACCATACAATATGTGGCCTTTTGTGTCTTGTTTATCTTGTTCTTGAACTCTCAGCATCATCACAGTACTGGAATTAAGTAGGTACTCAATAAACATTTGCTGAGGCAGGCCATGGTGGCTCACACCTGTAATCCCAGCATTTTGGGAGGCCAAGGCAGGTGGCTCACTTGAGGTCAGGAGTTCAAGACCAGCCTGGCAAACGTGGTGAAACCCTGTCTCTACTTAAAAACAAAACAAAAGAACAAACAAAAAAAAAACTCTAACTAAATAAATATTTGCTGAGTCAACAGAGAAGAACTACAGGAGTAAGGAATAATTCAGGCTAGAAAAACATCACAAAATTTTAAAAGTAGAAGAAACTTTAAATATTATTGCTATGATTTGAATGTGTAACCCAAAGTTCATATTTTGGAAGCTTAATCCTCAATGCAAGTGTTGAGAGCTGAGATCTTTAAGAGGTGATTAGGTGCCTTCACGAAGGGATTACTGTTGTTATGCTGGGAGCAGTTTCATTATCAAGAAAGTGGGTTTGTTACAAAAGCAAGTTTGGTGCACTCACTTTCCCTCCTTGCTCTCTCTCTAACCAAGTGATGCCTTTGTCCACGTTATAATACAGCAAGGAGGTGTATTATATATCCTTGTTGTATTATATAAGATGAATATCCTTGTTCTTGGATTTCCCAGCCTCCATAATCATAAGCCAATACATGTCTGTTCTTTTTATATTACCCAGCCTCAGGTATTGTTAAGCAGCGCAAAATGGACTAAGACAGTCACTTAGTCCAAATATCTAATTTTCTAGATGAGGAACTCAAGATCCCGACTTACTCAGGGTCAGTCAGCCACTTAGTAACAGAACTGAGACTAAAACTCAACAAGTCTGGCTCACGATTTAGAAGTTTTTCCAGACTGTCTCTCCAAAATGAAATCCTCCTTTGCTTTCATTCTATCTAATATGATGCACTACCAGGGCCTCCTTAGTTCTTCGGCTTGCTTGCTTACTTCTAAACGTGGTAGGGTCTCTTTCTAGTGTTCCAGCATGAGCTTGCTTCAAGAAGGCAAAAAGATCTAAACTACTTTTTCAAAAAACATGGTGAAACCCCATCTGTACTAAAACTATACAAATTAGCCGGGCATGTGGCCCTGTTAATTCTGCTACCTGTGCTCATTCAGAGTAAACGGTTTCCACTATATTGATTATTTGTTCATGCTCTTTTGACTTTTTAATATCTTTTTCATGCTATTTCAATTCATTCATTCAACATCTATGAGGCAACTATGATGTGCCAGGCAACGTGCAGGATTACAAGATGTAAAATACTCTTCCTACCTCAACAGATTGATGATCCAATGGAGGAGAAATTAGATTATGATCCTGATGAGATTAAAAACCCCTTTAGTGGCCAGAACCACCCCTCATTTCTACCAGCTGAGTACACGATGTACTGCACAGCCTGTCCAGTGCTCTGCCCACTGGGAAATATTTTGGTGATTGGCTAATCTTGAGGTTCAAGACACTCTCACCCTCTGAACTGTTTAGAGAACTGAAGTCCACAGGGATTAATTGGCAAATCCTCACTAAATGGAAAAGGGAGCTGAGGTCAAGGTGGGTGGGGTGGCTCGTCCCCACCTCTCTCACCTCTTGGCTTGTACCAGGTATTGATCCTGGCAGAAAACCTCAATAGCTGGGGAGAATCAGACCCAGGTAAGACAAATCCCAAAAGCTCCACCACGCAAAGCCCGCTCCAATGCAGGGCATCGACTTCATCTGCCCCATCAGCCTCATTATGGCTGCTGCTTCCTCAGCAAGTTTGATGATCTCACGTCCAGAAAAATCTGATTTTTTCTTTGTCTTTTTTTTTTTTTTGAGACGGAGTCTCATTCTGTAGCCCAGGATGGAGTACAGTGGCGCGATCTCGGCTCACCGCAACCTCCGCCTCCCGGGTCCTGGTTCGAGCAATTCTCCTGCCTCAGCCTCCCCAGTAGCTGAGATTACAGGCGCCCGCCACCATGCCCGGCTAATTTTGGTATTTTTAGTAGAGACGGAATTTCACCATGATGGCCAGACTGGTCTTGAACTCCTGACCTCGTGATCCGCCTAGCCTCGGCATCCCAAAGTGCTGGGATTAACAAGCACGAGCCAACGTGCCCGGCCTGAACAACCTGCACTTCAAAGCTACTTGGGTGTGTCTGGTTCTGGGGAAATGGCCTCAATTTTGCCTTCCTCCTCAGCCTTCTGCCCTCCCGCTTCTCTTCACAGTGCCTTTGGCCCCCACGAAAAAGACTTTCAAATCCAACTTAAAGCCTTAAGCAATAAGAAAAGGAAAAAAAAAACAACAACAACAAACGTTTAACATAGAGGCAGAACTAACAACGCCCAGGTGCCCGCTCCGGCCGGAGACCTCGCGTCGGAACCGCCCTCACCTCAGGTTGTCGACGCCTCCCTCCCACCTGCAGTCAACGGCCTTTTCCGGTCCCAACGCGCGCCTCGCCTCATGAATAGTCGACGAGGGGGTTTTCTGGGCGGGGCCAGAGGCTTCCTCATAAATAATTCATGACCCGGCCCCGGCTGGCCAGGGCGACCAGCCCCGCTAGACTTCATGAATATGCAAAGCAGGGGCCAGCCGCGGCTCACCTGCCCCCGGCCCGCCAGGCCCGTCAGCTGCAGCCTCTCAGGCGGGGGCTGCACGAGGGCCTGACGCGGCTCTCGGCCGGAGGCCGCCCTCCTGGGCCACCCGTACAGCGACAGCCTGCTCCAGAGCTTCCTGAGGAGGCGCCTGCCCGCCAAGGTTAGGACCCGAGGGACCGTGGGGCTCGGGCGGGCCGGGACGCCAAGCCGGCGGGTCCCAGAGAGGCCTGAGGCCGGCGCGGGGCGGCGTGGGGGAGGGGAGCGAAAGGCTCAGGGGCCCGGGGGGCGCCGCGCCGTGGCTCCGCCTTGGGGGGGGGGTCCCAGCACTTTGGGGGGGCCGAGGTGGGCGAATCACTTGAGGTCAGGAGTTGGAGACCAGCCAGGCCAAAATGGCGAAAACCCCGTCTCTACTAAAAATACAAAATGTAGCCGGGCGTGGTGGCGCGCGCCTGTCGGCCCGGCTGCTCGGGAGGCTGAGGCAGGCGAACCGCTTGAACCCGGGAGGCGGAGGTTGCGGTGAGCCGAGATCGCGCCACTGCACTCCAGCCTGGGTGACAGAGCGAGACTCCGTCTCAGATAATTTCTTAAAAGTACAGAAACTTAGTTGGGCCATCATGGCGCGCGCCTGTAGTTCCAGCTGCTAGGGACACTGAAGTGGGAAGCTGGCTTGAACCCGGGAGTTTGAGGTTGCAGTGAGCGGCGATGGCGCCCTTGCCCTCCAGCCTGGGCGACAAAGGGAGACCCTGTCTCAAAAATAGAAAAAAGAAAAGAAAGAAAAAAGACAGAAGGCTCCAGAGCTTTCCAATACGTGAGGGCATCGGCAACCCCCTCACTCTACCCTGGACCTTCCTTCGTGTTCTTTCTAACATTAATTTGTAATTAGGCAAATTCTGCAAATAAAACACGAATATGTTCTCCTTTGTGCTCTACTCCTAATCTCCCTTTTTTCCCGCCCTGGTAACTGTGGGAGTAGTTGGGGGTGTGGCGCCTTGGATCTTTTCCCACCTGTTTAGGTAGGTATTTCGTATCCTGTGGAGTTTTCCAAAGGTTCCTGGTGTCCCATGGGCCTCCCCAATGGGATTTCCCAAGAGAGTAGATGCAAGAGTGAGCCACTTGAAACCTATTCGTGTTTTGTTTCTGCAGCAAGGGTAAAAAACGATTCAAGCTGGCAAGAACATGAGTTTAGAACATAATGACTAAAACTGAAATTTGGGCTGAAATATCCCTTTAGTGCAAGTTTTCTCAACCCTCCCTCCCCCCCCCCACCACCACCATCATAACAACAAAAATGTCTCTAGACTTTGCCAAATGTCCCATGGGGGGTGCAAAATTGCCCTCTGTTGAAAACTACTGCATTCACCCTATACTTGCAGGAAGTAACTGCTTTTTAAGCTCCAACCACACAGATGGTTTGTCTGTACCAGCCCTTCTCAGCCTCCGCATTTACCAGCCTTGCTGGCTGGATCACTAGGCCCTCTATGCTGGCTGTTCTAATTTTCTTCCTGTCTTCAGGTCTGAGCTCAGTCAACTACCCCCATATCCAAAGACTTTCCCCTCTCTGCCCTATACTAATGGGAGTCAGCCACCAGCAAACAGTTATTTGTTATTCTTTCTTTCGTAGAATTTCTCTCAATCTAGATTTCTTTTTTTTTTTTTTTTTTTTTTTTTTTTTTATAGACAGAGTCTTGCTCTGTCACCCAGGCTGGAGTACAGTGGCGCAATCTTGGCTTACTGCAACCTCTGCCTCCCATACTCAAGTGATTCTCTTGCCTCGGCCACATGAGTAGCTGGGGTTACAGGTGTACACCATCATGCCCGGCTGATTTTTGTGTTTTTAATAGAGATAGGGTTTCACTGTGTTGGCCAGGCTCATCTTGAACTCCTGACCTCAAGGGATCCACCCACCTTGGCCTCCCAAAGTGCTGGGATTACAGGCTTGAGCTTCCATGCCTGGCCCTGGATTTTATTTCTTTCATAACCTGTTTTGTTTTGTTTTGTTTTCTCTCTCTCTCTACCACCTAGAATAAGTAAGAGGCCTGATCTGGCTGAGTTGCCTCAGAATGCCCAGTGCTGGAACACACTGTAGGCACCCAATAGACATTGGTGGACTGAAATTATAAATGACCCTGTCTTCCTCCTAAGAGCTTCTGTGGAGTTTTTCTTAGTCCTTTCCTTCCTCATCATTTGACAGGCTCCTTGTGACCATGGATGAATAAGCACCTGTGCCTGGCCCTGTCCTAGGAGCTGTTGGGTAAAGCCTTCACCTTTCCCAGTGGTAAGAGACTGGAAATTATTCCTGGCAAAGCAAAGTCTTTTGTTTTGCAAGGGAAAATGTGCATTGTGTTAGAACTTGATTGTCGTTTAGGAATTTCCAAATAGGTAGGGCAAGGTGGCTCATGTCTGTAATCCCAGAACTTTGGGAGGCTGAGGCGGGCACATCACGGAAGCTAGATTATCAACTCCTTGAGGTTAAGAGCTGTTATTTTTACTTATTTTATTCCGTTTCTTGAAAGTATTCAAATAGATGGCTGAATGAACTAATGTTCCTCAGTGAACACTGGGTGTTCAAATAGTTGAATGAATGAATTAGTTACTTAAAGAACAACATTAGACAATTAAAAATTGATAGTGTTACAGGGGCTTAGGAAATCCTCCAAGTCTAGTTCTTTACAGATGAGAGTACAAGTAATTTGCTCAAGATCCCTAAGCTTCTTAAGAGGCTAGGTCACACGTACAACCCGTGGTCTCACACCTCTTATTTCAAGGCTCTTTCTTGTCTCTAGCCAGGCTAATTTCTGATTACTTTTCTGTGAACCTGACTTACAACTCAAACACACAAATCCCAGCCAAATACTTTCTTCTTGTCAACTAAAAAGGCTTTTGAGCCTGTGCTTTTTCATCTTGATTAAATCCAACCCTGGGGATAATGGCCTAATGAACTCAAAAGTGCTGTATGATATTAAAACAACTTCCCAGCTTCCTTTGTACCTTTCAATGATAAGAGACTGGAAATTGTCCCTGTCAAAGCAAAGTATTTTGTTTTGCAAGGGGAAAATGTGCATTGTGGTAGAACTTAATCATTGTTTAGAAATTTCTAGATAGGCCAGCAAGGTGGCTCACACCTGTAATCCCAGAACTTTGGGAGGCTGAGGCAGGTAGATCACGAGGTTAGGAGTTTGTAAACAGCCTGATCAACATGGTGAAACCCTGTCTTTACTAAAAATACAAAACTTAGCACTCTAGCCTAGACGACAGAGTGAGATTCTGTCTCAAAAAAAAGGAAAAAAGAAATTTCCAAATAACCAGAATTTTGACAAAGATTAAAAGTCTCCTGTTGAAGTTTTGCCAAACCCCAGTAGTAAAATAACACATGACACAGGTGAAAATGGGGAGGGCGCCTTACTTGAGATTACTTTTATTGGCTAAATTTGACCACCTTCTCCTTAGACACATTTATGTCACCTGACTCTGTCTGCAGCAGTTGTCAATCACCAATCAGTCTTTAGTTAGACCCTTGGTTTTTTTTTTTTTTTTTTTTTTTTTTTTTTTTTTTTTGAGGGCTAAGGACCATTTTTCCTTATTTAAAAGGAATTCAGAGTTTCTTTGTTCTTGTTGATCATTTCATATAGGCAGCACCTGGTTAGGGGAGTCTCAATATCATGCTTTCAGTTTTTAGACCTTTATACTTTCTTTTCTTTCTTTTTTTTTTTTTTTTTTTTTTTTTGCTGGGATTACAGGTGTGAGCCACTGTGCCTGGCATAGACCTTTATAGTTTCTTCCAAGGTATCTGACAGCGCACTGTGTCAGAGGAGTACAGTGGTGCAATCCTGGCTCACTGCAATCCTCCACCTCCCTGGTTCAAGCCATTCTCCTGCCTCACCCTCCTGAGTAGCTGGGATTATAGGCACTTGCCACCATGCCCAACTAATTTTTATATTTTTAGTAGAGATGGGGTTTCACCATGTTAGCCAGGCTGATCTCGAACTCCTGACCTCAAGTGATCTGCCTGCCCCAACCTTGCAAAGTGCTGGGATTACAGGCATGAGCCACCGTGCTCAGCCAGCAGAACTGTCTTTTGCCTACCTATAATGATTGGAACTTTCCTCATCAAGTTCAGTTTAACCTTGAGAATCTTCCCCAAAAGATGGTTTATTGGAGAGTTATCTAAATAGACATATTAAATATAAAATATCTTCCCAGGAGGATATCTCCTATTAGATGTGTCTCCTTCTTCAATATAAACAATCGTGATACCAAATACAGGGAAAAGAGATTTGGATGGAGGGAGCAGCTAAGTAGGAAGGCTAGTTTCTTTGTTTTCAACATTTATTATTTTTTAAATTTTTTAATTTTTGAGATGGAGCCTCACTGTGTCGCCTCGGCAGTAGTGTAGTGGCGCCATATTGGCTCACTGCAACCTCCGCCTCCTAGGTTCAAGTGATTGTCCTGCCTCAGCCTATGAGTAGCTTGAGATTACAGGCACCTGCCACTATGCCTGGCTAATTTTTGTATTTTTAGTAAAGATGGAGTTTCACCACATTGGTCAGGCTGGTCTCAAACTCCTGACCTCAGGTGATTCACCCACCTTGGCTTCCCAAAGTGCTGAGATTACAGGCGTGAGCTACCATGCCCAGCCTGCTTTCAACATTTATTAGAACTCTGTAAAGCATAATGTCCAGTTATCATGACGTTGACACCACCACGTTCATTCATCAAGCATTTATATGTCTACCATTAATAAAGCACTCTACTTTGCACTGCAGCAATCACAGAGGTAATGACTTGGTCACTGAACTACGGAATTTTACAGTTTAGTGAGAGAG